AAAACAGAAATCTCGCATAGAGCAAAAGGGTAAATGCTGGCTTGATCTTAGCTTTCATTACAAGTGTAGACCGTGAAAGCGTGGCCCCTTGAGCCTTTTGTTTTTAGGAATTTTAAGCAAGAGGTGTCAGAAAGGTTACCACTGGGATAACTGGCTTGTGGCGGCCAAGCGTTCATAGCGACGTCGCTTTTTGATCCTTCGATGTCGACTCTTCCTATCATTGCGAAGCAGAATTCGCCAAGTGTTAGCCACCCACTAATAGGGAACGTGAGCTGGGTTTAGACCGTCGTGAGACAGGTTAGTTTTACCCTACCGTTCGCAGTTGTTATGGTGATGGTAATCCTGCTTAGTACGAGAGGAACCGTAGGTTTAGACAATTGGTTTTGTGTTTAATTGAAAAATCAGAGGCACTAAACTACCATCTAATGGATTATGACTGAACGCCTGTAAGTCAGAATCCAATCCGGAGTCCATAACATTAGTGTCTGGAATGTGAATTGTTTATTAAATAGTTGTGTGAGTGCATAACTGAGCAACATGAGCAAATTGAAATGAAGTAGCGAATGTCTTCATAGAGGTTTTTGATCTTATTATGTTCCGGGCACAAGACAATCTGCATATGACTTTTATCAGTCGAAGTGTTGTAATTAGTAGAGCAGTTACCATACTGCGATCTAATGAGACGTATCTTCGTATTGGGCGTTTGCTGTTTGCGATGAAATAATTGGCTTGTTGCAATAGCATAAAAGAGCATAAAAGAAACATAACAACCTGTTGCGATTGTTAGCCATGGTTCACAACGTAAAGATTTGAGTAAATTTATGGAACTTCCTCCATAATCTAATGGATTATGACTGAACGCCTCTAAGTCAGAATCCAACCCAGAGTCCATAACATTAGTGTCTGGAATGTGTATTGTTTATTAAATAGTTGTGTGAGTGCATAACTGAGCAATATGAGTAAATTGAAATGAAGTAGCGAATGTCTTCATAGAGGTTTTTGATCTTATTATGTTCATGCACAAGACAATCTGCAAATGACTTTTATCAATCGAAGTGTTGTAATTAGTAGAGCAGTTACCGTACTGCGATCTATTGAGACTTATCTTCGTATTGGCCGTTTGCTGTTTGCGATGAAATAATTGGCTTGTTGCCATAGCATTGTTAGACATGGTTCACAACGTAAAAATTTGAGTAAATTTATGAACTTCCTCCTCGATGAAACTGAACACAGATACAAAATAGTCGCACGCGCATACATGCGACTATCAATACGCGTCGAGTAGGCTGGCAAAAGAGAACTTTTTCCCTGACTTCGTTAAGAAACGGAGGAATCATTCAACTGGTTTATCCGCGCATAACTAGTTATACGGTGGGAGAGGCAGGCTGACGACTATTGGCTAGCTTGCGACCTTTGGCATGATGATAGTTCATTTCATGAAATGAATCAATACGATCGAATTTTCTCTAATAGTTATCTTTAGTAGTCTCTCTTAAATAGCGTGTGTTCAGTAGGAGGTTTATCCGTCAACCTGGACTAACGATTACTTGGATACATGGATTGTACCTTGTGTGAGTGTACCTTTTCTGTAATGGAAAACAACATACTAATAACGTTCATTATTCATTCTTTTATGTATATATATATGCTACCAGCAAAAAAGCACCCGTTGCTTGTGCTTTTTTATATTATGCGATCCATTAGTTTATTAAATAGTAAAGTTCTTCATTTAATGATGTCTCTTCCCTCTGTTTCAGGGGATGCATCAAAAGCGAATTGGTTAGCCAAATTTTGTGCCGTTTTTGTGTGAAGAACAGAAAGAAAAAGGGCTAAATAAAAAAAAGACGCGTAATCCAATCCGTTCATTAGTAATTACATTTCGATATTTTGTACCATTGTACAATCTAGTACAAAGGCTAGCAGAAACCTAATCGACTATAACAAATAGCAGTCACTATAACCTGCAGTGCGACATTTTCAGAAATTATACAGAAATTGCATATAGATGCAATACACGTTACCAAGTTTCAGACAGGTCAAATATTGAAATCGCGTATAAACATCAAATAAATGGAACCTTTCACGAAGTAAGCGCTTCAGTATTGTGCAATCCGAATAACGTAAATTATTTCGTGAACCTCATTATTTTCGTTAAGTAAAAAAATTCTCCGTTTAGTCTCTTCCCGTTGTTTTAGGGGATGATGCCCCAAAAATGAATTGGGTAGTCAAATTTTATGCCATTTTTATTCTTCCAAAAGTTAGCGAACGATACCCTGCGACGAGGGATTTTTCTGAACGTATGGGAAGAAGCAAACTTAGTTCTGATCTCAAAGCTAGGAAATAAAACAGGGCTGACGACCTTTTCACCGGCCTCCTGCACGCGGCTTCAAATGCCGTGGAAAGCACCATGGTAGCCCGATTGACCAAGGAGATTGAAGAAAAAGAAGCACACTCCGAAGCACAATACGGCTTCAGGGGACAGCGCTCAACACTCTCAGCTGTGGATAGGGTCCTCAAATTAGCGAGAGAAGAGATGAATAGTAAACTGAAGACTAGGAATTTCGTGCTTCTGATCCTGCTGTATGTTAGAAATGCCTTTAATAGCATGAGTTGGGGAAAACTGATGGCCGCCCTGGAGGAGAAGAAGATCATGTATCTAGTCAAAGTCATCAGCTCGTATTTAGGGAACAAAAAACTGGAGGCGGAAGGAACGAAATACAAAGCCACAGCTGGGATTCCGCAGGGATCGGTCCTTGGACCAACACTATGGAATTTAGCCTATGACGGCGTGCTACAAATAACGGATTTACCGGCAAGGGTTGAAACTATCGCATTTGCAGATGATCTGGCTCTTATTATCAGGACCTAGAAAATAAAGCAATATACCTTACTGGGAAAAAGAAGACGGGAGGAAGAAGGGAGTCTTTTTTTCTTTTGGGAGATATCCAAAGTAGTCACTCCTGTCAAGTTCTGTCAGGCCAGCGACAAATTAGGGTAGATTAAGGACTGGGTTCAGACGGAATGATGACGAAATGACCGTTTCTGCAAGTCATGCTTCCGAGGTAATATCAAATATATCCCGAACCATGGCCCAAGCTGATGAAAAGGTCTAGGCTTTAGTAGGTGGAAGTCCCACAGTACTAGACAAAGCACAATCCAGTGATTTCTGGTCTGCGTAATGCATTTGCCCTCAACTTCCAAAAAAAAGAAATTGAAATGAAGTAGCGAATGTGTTGTAATTAGTAGAGCAGTTACCATACTGCGATCTAATGAGACTTGTTATTATGTACAAATAAATGAAATACGTAGATGTAACTATATGGCATGACGAGACGTCGTTCGCAAATAGACGCCCTTTGTTTCATAGCCGCCGCCACTGCTTGTGCATTGCATTTAATCATCCCATTGAACATTGTGTGGTCCAAACAGCGTAATGATTATTTTGTGAACATAACTTGGCTAAGTAGAAGAATCCTTCGTTTATCGATGTCTCTTTCCGCTGTTTCAGGGAATTCCCCTAAAGTGAATTAGATAGCCAAATTTTATGCTGTTTCTGTACTCGGGAAAAAAGTGCTATATGATAACTATATAATATTTTGTAACACTCTAGTCATGAAAAAGCATAATAAGTAATAGGCAATCCGTTCATCAGTAATTACATTTCAATATCTAGTGTCATTATCAGATCGGATACAATAGTATTCATTCAACAGTATTCAACAGTAAAACATTCGCTCCAACAACAGCAATAGGCACGATTAGCATTGCGAAATTTTTAAAAATCATAATTTTTCATTTTCACGAAACTACGAAAACTCTAGTTACAAATCTTTTTTTTCAAAAATAATGACCTATTTTTTTTAAACAATAAAGCCAGAATAATGGTGGTGGTAAAACCGGATGACAGCAACAAGTACAGTTTGTGTTAGTTTGATAAGCACATTACAATGTTCGCCATTTTAACGGAGTTGGTGTTAATTTGTTTTCAAAAACGCTTTGCATGTTAAACATTTAGTCCGTAATCGCTGTTGATTCATAGGCGAGCCGCATTTACTGCCGTCACTTGCTTTCTGCTTCACGCGCTTGCAACGTGAATTGAATCACTAGCGAATGTCCTCTTGTGGCCTATACACAAGCAAATTGACATAGATTTCTAAGTTTTTGATACTTAGCTGATTAACTTGATACAGTCAACGAACACATAGTATTTCCTCTGATGGTCTTAATCTAAATGTTAATATATGAATGTGTTAATCTTAACGTTGCTGGTTAGTGTGCGTTAAAGATGTTAAGAACGTATAACAAACGACTAAAACTATTTTCATAGTCCAGTCAGTTCACTAATTATGACATTTCTATATTTTTATATCGTTACAGGCTCGACGACGCTGTGGCGATCGATACTGCTGCTAAATGGCGTTCTATGTTGCCGCCCTATGAACGCTACTTTTCAACGATCTTTTTATATATTACACGACTATCAATTTAATATAAGCAAGACAAGGATTCGTTGTTTTGTATTAGAACCTGCTCCTTCTACTGGCTGTGTTGCTGATAGCGCGGACGGTCAGAGCGGAGAGCAACGGAGAGAGGACGTGGAAAGAGAAGCACTTTTTATCTTCGATTTTGCTCTGTTTAAGATAAAATGCCGATACCGGTGATGAATCGATGTATATCTCCTATAACTCGACTTGTGAGCTGCTTGGTATGGGTGGGACAGTAAACCCTAAACCCTAACCCTAAACCCTAACCCTAACCCTCCCTAAACCCTAAACCTAAACCCTAACCCTCCCTAAACCCTAAACCCCTAACCCTAAACCCTAAACCCTAAACCCTCCCTAAACCCCTAACCCTAACCCTCCCTAACCCTAAACCTCACGAGCACATTTCATGTAACATGAAAACTCGCCTTGTAACATTTCCACCGGCAAATTAAGAGCCTGTGCCTAATACTTGTGTCTCACTTGGGGATTTAAAAACAATTTTTAAAAAAAA